GATTTGTTTAGGCGCGAGAAAGTTGCAAATTACTGTACCGACCTGAGTGCGTGACGTTCAAATTTGTCTTGGCAATTTTCAGTTTCCTTGATGTGTCAGTAATGTGTCGGATCCGGCTAAATCACAACCATGTTTGTAGACACCTCCGGAAACGGAACCACGCTACCATACAGAGAGGCCATCAGTTAAAATAGCCTCACTGTGTAGCCGGTTGGGACGGTGCCGAAATTTCTTTTCTCTTCTGTGTCATTCATGGAAGGTATTTTCCACATTTATTATGCCACCGGTATGCTATGGATATTGGTGCCGTAGAGGGCCGACCAACGACGCTCGCGACTTGAGATTAAAACAAGCGTGCACTCCAAAATTAAGAACAAGCTTATCTCGATAGGTGACAGGACGCTGATGCTCAAACGTCACAGTGAAACACCCTTATGTTGACCTGAGGTCAATACTCATGACTGATCGGGCCATAACAATACACATTAGGAGGCAATTGTATACATGCCGCTTATAAATTCATGTTTAAGGAAATTATGTTCCACCTTAGATCTCCCAAGCATGTCCTTAACAATCTCCAATTGCATCCAACAGGCAAGGACGCCCAAATCACAAATCAACTACTAGTATCTCCTTATTATAACAATGACTAGGTTGGGACTGATCACACAACGAGAAGCATGCAGTTTTACGAGCGTTTGCACCAAGTGGATGAAGTTGCTAATATTAAAGACTATCTTGGGTGATTGATGGAGGAACAGGATCTCCATAAGATGGAAGTTGTGATAGCTATTAATACAAGTGGCTGAAAAATTGTATATCACCATCTGTGTCAGTACGATTGACTCATGTTTTCGTGTGCAAAAGAATTTGGCTTGCTGCACATTCACCTTTTCGTTCTTCCTTCATTTAGCTTATTCTACCCTAGAAGTTCGATAGAACAACCTACACGGCGGATATTCAAAATGTCTCGACGCACTCATGCATTTACAGTACGTGATGTTCCAGTGTTCTTGTCCATCCCAATAGGATGAAACAGCCGTCTATCGCTTTTTTGAATGTGCGGTGACTATCCGACTAAGTCAGAATCTGAGGAACCTTTTCATAAAACTGAAGAGCTCTCCTCGCTCAGTGATATTCAAGTGAGCGCAGTTGGTAAGGTCGACACCACGCTGAGGTCCAGCTTGTGTGGAGAATGAGCGACAAGACCATTGCTTTGAATTAGGCAGAATCAAAATTTAATCCTACCTATCTTTGCCAGTTGGAAGAATCCCTTTTGCTAGCTGATTCCCATAAGACAAACTGGCCGACCATTGCTTCTAAGGATGCAGATACAACCATCTGACTGAGAACAAGCTGGCAAGAATGTCGTTTAAAAATGCGCCAAATTTAATAGACCAGGGACTATTCCGTGCTCTGGCATTACATGCACTGTTCCAAAGCATGTGCTATTGGATGTCGAATTCTCTAATGGTTACACAAATATTTAACTGGGCAACCTAAGGTAGGGTTGCACTAATTTAAACTGATGCATCTCTTGCTAGACGGATGAGGAGAACGGCAGAACCAGTAACAAAGAAACCGCGGATCGGCGATGTTAACGACAGGCCTCTGCTGGCACTTCCTAAGCTCCCAAGTTCGAGTCACAATCCGGTTATCCATACTTGAAGAGTGCAAAGGAGTAAAAAGTTAATCGTGGATTGCGTTCCAAGCGGACGACAAGCAAAATGTATTTGCTGCAGTTGCTGAGCTGACTGAGATTCACCTCAAAGTTGGTCTGTGAGCATCTCACTGCCCACAGCTCGATCAGACCGGAACAGCATGGATTTGTCAGGAAAAGTCAAACTTCACAAACCTGTCGTGGTTCCTTGACGAAATAACCTGGTGTCTTGAGGACAGAGTTCCGGTATAATCATGTTATCTTGACTACGGTAAAGTTTTTGTATCGGTAAGACACCATTTTCTACTGGAAAAGATGATCTGGTTTGGACTACACTCTCAAGTACTTTCTTGGCTGTTCGCGTTCTTCTGCCGTAGGACATTTGCTGTTAGGGTTGTCAATGGCATTTCGAGCACAGGTACTGCACATAGTGAAGTCCTCCAGGGTTGTTCAGTACTGGGTCCGCTAGTGTTTCTTAGCTTCATAAATGAATTGGCCCCTTTACTTGAAGAGCCCTACTATATTTTTGCTGATAACTTCAAGTTCGTCGGCAAGGGTGACAGGCTTACTCTATCTAACGATTTGGCTACCGTTGTTAAATGGTCACATTCATGGGATCTGCCCCTAAACGTCAGAAATTGCCAAAACTTGAGTCGGTGTGATGGAAATGTGGTACTGCCAGCAACTTTTGGGTCCCTGGCCATGCAATGTGTTATCGAGGCTCGGGATATTGGCATCATCGTGCCTAATAACTTCCAGCCGTTGGCGCAATATAAGCATACTGCAGTTAAAGCATGACGTGAATTATTTCGACTTAAGAGAGCTCTGAGTTGTACCAAGCCAGAGGTATTTCTCCCCTTGTATAAAGCAGTGATCATACCACCTTGAGAAAACTGTGTTCAGGACGGGGTGCACTTCTTGCAGAAGGACGTAAATAGTATTGAGAATATGCAAAGACTGACCATTCGAATGATAGAAAGACAGCGTGGATTAGCTTGTGAGCTTCGATCAGTCAACTTAAGATTGTACTCAGTGAGGTGACGCGGATTGAGAGAGGGACTTAGTAGAGACATTCAAGATCACGAAGGGTCTCAGCGGCCTCACGCCAACCGATCTCTTTGAACCAGCTCCGTCGGACCACTTGCGAGTCCATAGTCTAATCTTGAAACTGCAGAGATCTAGGGTTGATATTAGAGGTAAAATTTTTGCAAATCGTTTAGTGCCTAGTTGGAACAAACTTCCTTCCGCATTATTGGAAGGTAGAACGGTAGAGGACTTCAAACGACGCCCGAATGAAATGTGGTTAGCCGTGTTCCCCGAATTCTTGTGAATACTCATTTCTGCCTGTAACCACATGCAAGTAGCCTTTGCAAATACATGAAAATGCAGTGGCTGTTTTGCTTTTAGTTCTTTCTTTTTCGTTCTCTTCCTTCTTTTTCCAGTGTAAATGCAACGGTCTATTATCACGTCGAAGTGCTGGGAGGTCTTCTCGCTTACTGTCACACGAAACGGGACACTTTTTATGTGAAGGCTTTTTTCGTCCCTGGATCCTCTCCTGTCCTGTGATTTATTAGGAGACTGTGTGTCGCAATCCACTCACACAATGTGTGTGTGTGTGACCGGTCCTTGTTAATAATAAGGTATTACATTTTTAATACGGTGATATATTCAACCAGAATATCCATCCAGTCGCCGGCTACTGGTAAATGATAGTGTTTGCAACTTATTAAACTCTAAAAAATAAATGTAAATGCACGAAATAGAAAGGCGAGTTGAATAGTCGTAACTAATGCCTTTTGGTTATATCTACCTTTGCTATTGTTCCCCTATCCTAATCTCTCTAATACTTTCAAACTGTCAATCACTTCAAAAACTCATCTGTGAACCATTTTATAAAACACCAAAAATTAACTGTATTATGTGATTCTTGTTGTAAAAGCTGATCAAACCATTCGATTGATCTGTGCCTCGCACCGTCGAGGAATGAAAAGTTTATCAATTTATTACTTATTTAGGGAGCAGTAAAAGCACTGGGTAGATCAGCTTTGCAAAGTGGGCTGTTTACGGAAATTCACATCAGGCTATTACATTTACAGGACTGGTAAAAGCAACAATAGGCTGGGGAAGGCAGAACTGAGAACGGATGGGTCGGTTTGAACAGATTTGGCAACTGCGTTCGATGTTCAAATCGACCTAATCAAGTTATTCGCGACAGGACTAACAAACTAGCGTAAAAAATCACTTGGGTTAACAGGAGTGGTAAGATATATCAAATAAACAACATACAAAACGACCGGTTTTTTGTAATGCTCCAAGGAAACGATTTCTCGTCACGGCTATGACAAATATAAGCGTTGTGCACGCACCCTGGCTGTGTTAACCTAATCGCAATGGCCTCAGCCGTCTGCAAATGGCGTTTCCTCAGGGCGTTCGGGTATTGATTCGGTACGGTATAGTAAACACAGAATGCATTTTGTTGAAAATTGGTGCCCACTTTGAAGCAGAGTTTCGAGTATGAAACTGTTGATGCTTCTGACCCTGCCTCACCGCAGCAACTCTGGGCAATATACAGGAATCCACACTTACAGACGCCTGGTTGTAGGTCCGAGGTGCTTCGCACCACGTGTGCAAATAAACTGATAAAAATGTATGTTTCCAACCTAATTGACACTTGCCTTTACGACGTTTATCTATAAAGAGCGTGGTCTCAGCAAGTACATGAGGTTGTTACGACGAGCATTACAAAGATACAAAATTAGTTACTGTCTTAACGGCACAAGTCGAGAAATGCTCAATTTTATTCCACCAAGGACCATTCCATGTCTCTTCCTTTATTGATTACGGGCCTTAATTGGAAATCGGTTAATTCGACAAATTGAGTAAGCCATCCAGTGGAATATTAGGTCTATTTTTCTACTGTTGTAACCTCAGACGCAAGCCTGTGGTCTGTTTATGTTCTGTGGACAATTTCCGTTCACTTAGTTTGCGTTCTCTCTCTACACTCGTCTGCAGCACTGTGCCAAACATTGCAGTGTCGCCAGTTATTATTGTGTATCCATTTACATCCTTCAGCCCAATGAAACTAGTTCAACACACGCTTGTAAAAGTGCAAACTACCATATACATCTTATTGAGCAGGAAGCAACGTCGGTACTTTAGTTTGAACATCTTCCTTCGCAATGAGCCTGTTTTATTTCCGGATTAGCGACCTCACAGCTCTCTTTATCGTTATAGATTTCTGAGATCACATGAGTTTAAGGAGCTCTACGGTGCCAAAAACTAGTAAAATAAAAATGTGGCTGTACTTTGGATAGACTACTATTCCAAGAATTGAACTCACCCAGGTCGCGTTCATTGCTGCGCTCCACGGCAATCGTCTCCTTGGTCCGCAGGAGGTTTTCGGACAATGATCTGTTCTGATTTGATAGGTGTGAGATTTCTTCATTTAGCTGTGAAATCAACTTTTCGTATTCATTTCTTGTGGTTCCGCTGTAATGTCTTCCACGCTCCCAACGGACCGGAGGCATTACTGAAACTTATTAGCAAGGGAGTGGAAAGATGGTAAGTAAAAGTGACTCAGTATGAACATTGCTCGCGCTACTCAATGGCCTAGGAACCAAGGCGATAGCCGCCATCTACTATGCTCTGAGTTCTACTCGCAGCTCAACTATCTTCATTTGATGGGCAATAAAACAATGGTTTTATACAAAAAGCTAATGCTTAACAGGTCCCGTAGGATGGTTATGGTGAAACTTCAAAAATAGTTAAATAATTGTTAACAAACTTGAGTTTACACCGATGAACTCATTGAGGTATACATAATTTACGTCGTAAATCCAGTGTAAAATCATAAGGAATGACGGCAAATTGGATGTTGGTAAATATTTTGTCTCCTCCAGGTGTACACATATAGGAGGTAAAATAGGTGGAAAGTAACCTTGTATTTGACTTCCAGTGAAATCGCTTACAGATGCTTGTGTTTATCCATGGGTAATGAGTCATCTAAGATGGTGCAGCGAAATAGGTGCACGGTCAACTCGGACTTTGAACTCTGCCAGAGTGGGAGCATATATGACAGATCCCGACAGGAAATTGCACGTTCTGCAAACACCTACGGAAAAGAATTGCCGACGGCATTCCAAGCGACTGTACTGCTCTGCCAGCTTGAGATGGTGGCCTCACAAATTGTTGTTAGGACTGAGCTCTAGCAAATATCGACACGAGTGATTTGGATCTCTCAAAAGCTGGTCCCCGTGCAATTGCAGATACGGTCCGCTGAAGACGCTGAGCACTTGAAACCATTGTTCATACTACCACCTAAACAAACCATTGACATTTTTGCTTGCCTGGCTTTGGGGTATCTCCAAGGCGGTGAGATCTCGCATCAGCCTTGGTGCCAGAGCATTATAGCGTATACCCAATGTGGCCTTAGTTATGAGCCGAGAAGTTGTGAAAATGTCATAGGTCCAAATTGTCCGAATGCACGCTTCAGGAGGCCCAAGTGTTGGATGCCCGTTATGGACGGCGTTTCAGCCAGATACGAACATCAAAGGTCTACCTGAACCAAAACTCCCAGATCCTTCTTGCCAGAAGATGTTTGAAGCTCCTTGTTGCTGTTTATAGGAGCACACCAACTAGAGCCGTAAGTAGAGCCCTCTACCTTTGTTCGCATTGAATGGAAGTGGATTCTGGAATGACCACCTATCCAGATCAATTTGAGGTACTGTGATGTTATCTGGCGTATTGGTTGCCCACCCCACCTTGTTTTCATAGGTGTAAAGTAGTCAGTTCGATCTTATGAGGTGCGTGATATCACAAAATACACGTCAAAAATAATCGCGGTCCTAGTACCGATCCATGTGGTATTCCGCATTCCACTCGGATAATATCTGACGGGAATTCACCAATCCTACTTCCAAGCACCGGTGAAGAAGAACGCTTTTGTTCCATCCTAGCAGAGGATAAACAAAGTCAAATGTCTGGAGATTGAAGAGCAGAATGTTATGGTCTAACCAGTCGAACGAATTTGAGAAGTCGAGACAGACTACATCAACTCATGTGCTAGAATGTACTGCTTCAGTCCAGCTGGATCGTGCTAATATTAGATTTGTAGTACACGTTCGACTTCCCCGGAAGTTTAGCTGTTCCAGTGCGAGGTAGTTAAATTCCTCTAAGTAGGCCGTTTGCGCAAAAGAAATGATAGTTTCCATGACCTTTGAAAAAAACCGGTAGTAAGTTAATGGGATGACGGTTGGCTGCACTGGAATGACCACCTCACTTCTGAATAGGACTAATCATCCCCTGCTTCCACATGTTGGGCACGTACATTTTGTCAAAACAGCTTTGAAAGAATCGAGTCATAGGTTCAGCTGAACTCTCTCCTACCGCCGCTAGTGACTTCGTGTGTATATTATCCACTATAGAAAAGCTGTGTCTGCGTACACTCAACAGCTTTTTAGTACAGCATTTGCTGTAAATGAAATGTGAGTGAGTTTTGGGGTGAAACAAACAAATGTCATAGGGTTAGGTGGCCAGTGATCTCACTGAAAAGTTGTAGCATATTGTAGACGCAGGATATTCGCCGCCTCCTTCGGTGTTCGTGCTGGTCCATCCGCTGTTTGAAGAGGCGAAATTCTCCGTTTCACTTTACTTATACTGTTGACGTGTTGATGCAGAAGCTTGTGATTTGTGGTCAAACGCATTGCCAACTTCTGCTGGCACGCCACGCTGTTCTCGCGAACAAGCTGAGTAAAGTGGCTACTTAGGAGCGCATAGCCCACCCAGTTCTCGGTGCTCGGGGAGTTTGTAGATACGCTAGGCTGAGTTTCGCACCGCAAACATTTGCTTTTCCTGCTTCGCAGAAAAGAAACCACGTTTCTCGGGCGGTAGGTCTGAGTCGCTGACGCTTCGGCAACCAGAGAGTTAAACTGACAAACAAAATCTTCTCTATAACATTGAAGACGGGTAGCTTAGGTTGTTCAGTTGGCGGTTGAACTGTTCGCTAAGCTTGGCAATTTGGTTGCAAAAGTCTCGTCAACAATCGAGGTGACATCATAAGTACGTAGTTGAGTAGCATGCAGTAGCTCAGAGGAGTCTTGGTGAGAATACGCTGAGTGTGATTTTCGTGCGTTTTTATACCTTCGTGGTTGCCCGTGAAGACGAGCAATGTTCTCGTGCACTAGCTGATGCCTCGTCTACCAGAAAGGTCCAGTTGGCTGTCTCAACTAGCCGAGCTAATATGTCGTAGCGCATAATCGTTTTTGTTGCGTCGGCAATTTAATTCATCATGCTTTTTACCCCTTAAGGTATTTGTCATGAACTCAGGAACGTTAGTGCATATGAACAATGAACAATGAAGTTAGACAGGTTAAGAGGCAATGCTTTTCATGTCCCATTGGGTGGTTTTGCGGGTTATCGAAAATAAAATAGCAGCGGGTTTGTTGCGTTTAAAAGAAGGACTTAGCGTTTATTTCGCTGTATTCGTGCAATCCGTGTAGTTTCACAGCACAGGTATATAATTTAAAATAAATCCAGATTACATTCCAGGAGTGGGATGGACGTGTAGTACTAGGCACTAAAGTCTAGGTGAGTAAGTGAGTCATCCAAACGTCTAATAACCTTATGGATAATGATAATGCAAAAATGACCGATTCTGGAAGAGCGTTCCACGGGTGACACGCGGAGGGAAGCGAATTTTCTGCGGCAATCCAGACGTCTTTACCTTTCGGTCAGTTTTGGTGTGTGACCTCTCAAGTTGGTATTACTGCTGCTTTGTAGTAAAGAGGGGCACCCATGATGTGGATCGTGTAGAATTAAGTGCACCATTAGCAAGTCACCTCGTAAGCGTTGGTAACGTCCCCTGAACAACCGAAACTGTTCCAGCCCATCCTTTTATGGAAGATGGTGCATTCTACTAACGTACTTTGATGCTCGACGTTGAGATTGCTCCAATGCATTAAAATCCTGTTTTAGTCATTTGTGCCAGACTTGAATGGCATAATCGACATGTGAACCAACATAGACACTAAGCATCTGTGGGAAAATAAAGCGATCTGTTTGTTCGAAAGCCCGTCGTAACAGGCTCACATGTATTGTACCAGTTTTCTGGCTTTTCGCGGTTTGCCTGCAACAACCCTGATCATCCTAAACCAGTACGCCCAAATCATATCTGGTGGCAGCTCAATGCGACACATGCGTTCCGAGCCTGTAACAGTGGTTGCTCTGGTGTAGTATGAAGAACGCATTGCATTTACTCATTGAATTGCAGTAAATGTTTTATGGACGACGGATGTACCGTGTGCAGATCATTCTGAAGCAGTTGCTTATCATTATTTTCTTGAACGTTGCGCCAAATCTTGACGTCATCGGCAAACAGCAGGAAGAAGATTTGCTGCGAAGAGTTCTCTTTTCGATAACTCTCCTCAAGAATTTAGAGTTATGGGACAACTTGGTACAACACCAGAAGCTATCCAATGCTACAGTAATGAATGGTCAGGTCATAGTTCAACGGAAAGGTCAATGAGCCAATCGATAGATCAGTCAATGCAATCCAGTGGTAAACGTCAATAGCTTTCACACCCCAAACCCTGAAAGCAAACATAACGACAAGTTAGATGTAATTGCTTGTGTGAGGTCATTGATAAATATCAAAAACAACCGGGGACCTAGCACCGAGCCTTAAGGCACAACACAATCAAGTTGTATGGGGTCAGAGAAGGAGCTCCAGACTCTGACAGCCAGTTGCCGCTGAAGGATATAGTTGGCGATCCAGCTTAGAAGCGGGTCACCGATCCCGTAACGCGTTAGCTTGGAAAAGAGTATGCGAAAATCTAGATGGTCGTCAAGAAACCGTACTTCCGCCTGGTCTTCGGTGACCTGGGAAGCACAGTTATCGAGGGCTTTAGTGGCGTCACTGCAGGTTGCACCTGGTCCTTGACCCGTTTTGTGATTGCACTGGGTGAGGCTACTGAGCTCTCACTTTGATTGTACCGAGTAGGAACAGTTGCATAGGTGGATGGGTCTGTACATCGCAACGGATTTAGTTTGGCAATCGGACGTTTTACCGATGTTACATCAGTCGATACACTAGATAAGAGGATGCGGGCGGTGGGGCTAGGCATGCTTCTGTCCGCCGCGATGACGATTTGGTTCCTGGTTCCCAAGGTTTCTCGTACTGGGTTGTCGGATGAACGCCCAACCTCTTTCATTTGTCTCGAAGCAGCAATTAGGGAAACGGATTGGGTGCAAGAAGTGCTACCGTCGCCTCGAGCGAAGCAATTTTTGCATTCGAATGATGTTCAGATTCGGCACCTAGATTGTCGTACTTTTGGGTTAACGCTAGTACGCATTTTACTAGCAGAACCATCGGGCACTTCCAACGTAACCAAAGCGAACAAAGTGCATGGTATTTCTTTATGTTCTTTATACGGACATTGACGCACTTTCTATGCTACCAGCCAATGCAGTTGTTACCAGTCAACCCCAATTTTACTACCTTAGCGCAAGTTTGATTAGGAACATATGCTTCGCTTCTGG